TGGTTGAGAGTATAATGGCATGAAGATAGATATTTGAAACAGAAGATGTCAGATTGGATCTAATTTTTGAATAAACGTATAATTTCTGTTTCAACTTTGATTAAGACTTGTACATGATCACGATAAGTCAAATTCCAACAAGGTTTCTGCTGCTGAGGTGGTCCTGACGTTACAGAAATCTGATGAGGTGATCAGATGATGAATAAGTGTAAATATAAATAAACATAAATAAATATACTATCGAACATTTCATTTACAGACGTACTAATAAAGCTTATGTGAGAATAACTTTCTAAAAGATGAATAAATCAGTGTTGTGTCCTCTGAAGTTTTGGACACAGCTGTGTGAACGTCTCTGTGTGTATTTGTGTGTAACTTGGTGTATTTCWGCATGTCCAGACTGCTCTCCCACCACCCTGACAGACTAAAACAAGTTCTCAGTCTCTCTCCGGCCTGCTTGTTCAGTCACGCCACATTCKCCCCAACCGTCTCTGAAGGTCCAAACATAAATGATAAATGCTTCTTACAGTTCTGAGATGTCTACAGAGATTACGTTTATTGATCTCTGAGTTGGTTCGAGSCAGAAAATGATGAACTCCTTAGATGTGAATGTATCTGATGAGGCGATAAAGATGTGTTTTGTTTTGCTCTTCTACTGTGTGAGAGCAGGYCGAGTTGATACCTGTTCAGAGCTGCCGTCTTGCTTTCTTGAAGTGCTAGAACAGCTAACTGAACAGGCATCTGTTAGAGCCAGATCTGATTAAATATCGCTGACTCCTGACAATCTGCTTGATGTTACTAGGGATAAACAAAGACTCAAAACTCAAACTTAATTATTTAAACATAAACTGTTATTTTTATGTTTATAAATCCAACCGGGGTTTAGATTGTTCAGATAGTTCATGACAGTTTATCATTTATTTGCATGGAAGCCTGGAGACAAACGTGAGCTGTAAACTTCTCAGTTCTGAGGAAACGTTATTGTTGAGATCCAGTTTTCTTTTGAATGTTATTTGGCACATAACTTCTGCAATGTTTTCAGGTATTTCAACAATTCATRCATCAAAATGTTCGTCTCATTCAACACATTCCTACTATGATTCTTTGTATTCGMTCAATTTTTACTTTTTGGAATATTTATCCTTTTTGCACTGTTTTCTTTTTTCTAATTGAAAATTATTAGTTTCCTTCAGAATCCTTCAAACCTTWTGTGCCTTTCACTGCTCCTGTTGTTCTGGTTACACTTTTTTCAGCCTGTTAATTTTATTTTCCTTCAGCTCCGTTCAGCTGCTTTCTGCTAATTTCATTTTATTGTTATTATTATTATTATTTGTCTTTTCAGGTACAGTTTAACTGTTTATCTGCTTTTCTTTTTAAGCCAATGCCGCCTTTATTGTGTTCGTTTCAGCTATTTAACTCAGCATACTCTATCTTTTTTCTGCTCTTTTCAACCATTTTTGTTAGTTTCAGCTTATGTTTTGCATTTGCACTGCACTTTTGCAAGAAATACAATTCCTCTAGTTAATTAATTAATATCTTACCTGTTGTAGATGTTTTTTTATTCCTGAGAAATTGTTTAATTCTGACCAGGCTGATGAGCTAACGGCTGGTTTGAGGAGGATGAAGAGCAAAGTGGATTGGTGCCATTTTAAAGCTGATCTTTAAAAGGATTTTAAACACGCTGTTGCTTTCTTCTTTGTGTTCATAACTTTTATGGTGTGCAAACAAACAAAACAAAACTTCCTTGGTTTTGTTTGTTCTTATGAGTTATAAAGGATTATTTAATGCACATGTGTTGTTGTAAAACATCTTGGCTGCATTAAATCTTTGCCTTTTTTAGGCAAAAAAAAGCAACATGTCACTAATGATGGATTGAGAAAYRATACTAAATAAAAACGTCATGTTTTTTGGGGAAAAGTTGTTAAATCTCTGTGTGTGACCACATGCAGAGAGGGTTTATTTACCCTGAAGTGGAAGATCCCGGCGTAAGGCTCAGCCAGTGTTTGGTTGGACGGCACAACTTTAGCAAAGAGCTGAGGGTGGATGGTCAGAGAGGAGAGAGCTGCCAGCAGCCAGCAGTCGCCTGGAGGAGAAAAGGACATCATGAGCTCAGATAAAAGGCTCAAATGTATTTCAGTGGACTCCCGGGTTTTAGTTTCAAGTGATGGAAATGCTTTCTGTTTGTGATTTTCTTTCTTGCACACAACAATGAGCCTCATCCCTCCCCAGCAGCAAACATCTGTTCTGCGTTTCTGCCTCTGATGATGCTGCAGTTAACTATCTGTTCCTGCGAAAAACTGTCGAAAACACATCCTGGGTTTTCCAGCTTTAACAAAACCACGCTGACACGAAAGACGAGGCCGCAGGACGTATCGACACATTTACACACAAATGGGAACAGAAATCCCAGAGAGCGATGACGAGACTGAGCCGCTTGGCAGAAAACAGGCGTTTAGTCCGTCACTAAYAGAAAACAGTCTGAACAACAGAGAACTGGGACGATTAAAACCTGGCTGGAGTGAGAATGCCAGCATGGTTGTTTAAAAAAAGTGCTTCTCTCCTGCTGCGCCTTTGAACTCGAGCCCTGAAGGTATAAACAGGCCTGAAGCGCTGGACTTATTTTACTTTATTCAAAATTATAATTGAAATACGTTAGAATGTTTTATTAAACCTCTTATGATGTTGTGTAAGACACTTCAGGCTGATATATTCAGCTGAACAGAAGGCAGGGGGAGGATTTTTAATTGTTTTATCTTTATGCACTCACCCAGTTGGCCCTGACAGATATCTGTGGTTCCAATCGTGTCCTCCACAAACACAGCATCCCCACTGATTTCCTTCAGCAAGAAAAATACAAATAAAAGAAGCACATGACAGTTTTAGAACTCAACACAAAGATTTCTTTGTATCAAGTCTTAAAGGCGAAAGGACATGTTTGCATTTCTTCTTAAAGATTAACAATCTAAATAAAAATACTGTTATGAAACTTTTCCTTCATTTCTTATAAACTCTCCCACCTTGGGTCGCTTCCATTTGATCGCCTTTGCAGGGTTWGGGTCTTCAGGCATCCCGATGGACTTCTGTTCAGCCGGAAAGGTCGGGTCTGAAAACGGCTTCCCAGCCTTCAGGCACTTCTCCAGCAGGGTGTCAAAGTCCTGGTCCAGGAACTTCTTGGGGTTCTCGATGGAGCCCAGAGGCGCCTGGTTGTCAGAAGCCATGCTGCCTGGTGATGGAGTGAAATGCACGACTTCAAGATGCGAGCAAGCCGGCGTTTAAATAACAAGCACCCTCCCTCCCATCCAGCAGCGAACGCCTCCCCGGCTCGGTCCAGACGGGACAGGAATGCAGGGCCCCGGGGGCCCAGAAGGGAAGGAGCTGCCGTAATGACACCATGCCAACAACGTGCTTTGATCTKTCGACTTCCTCCTCCATCGACGCCAGATTTACCTGACAGGAGAAACTCACTGCAGCGGTCAAGTCTAATGCCACCTCCAAACACTTTTTTTTACGTTAATGTTCAGTTCAAGGAAATTTCATTTCTTTATAGATTAATGAAAAGGGCGTGACAGTTTAATTCTGCTCATCCTAATTCCAAGAACATCCCTTTATCTGTTGTTTCATGTAYGAAACGTTTGTTTGTCACAGCAAGAACTCAAAAAGAGGTTAGTAAAACCCTGAAACATTATGTTTTTAAGATAAGTCTAAAATTAGCAAAGGACTTGTTGAATAAATGAAACATTTGTTTTCAGGCATTAATCATGTCAGTTTGTGAATAAAGTTTGTGGTCGTAATGCAAAATGTTTGAAACCATTTCTAACAAGTTTGGACTCTTAATAAAAAAACTTGATTTGTTTGCAGTGAAAGAAACTTTTAATTTATTGTTATTCCCTTTAGCACTGTGGTCAAACAACAGTGACACATTAAATGACACTAACTGACTGACTTCATGCTAAATAAATGTATTTTTCACATTGGTTCATTTGGAAGTTTTTTGTTCCACTAACAGGACAGCAGGACTTAATTTAAATAAAAATCACGTCATTCAGCTGCTGGGAAGACGTTTTATAGACAGATCACAACTCAAACACACACATTTGTTCTTCTATCTTTACGGGGACTTTCAATCGACTTCCATTCATTTACTGGTTATTTCTATGGCCTAACCCTGACCTCTGACCATCAGTTGTGTTTCCCTCAATGGGGACCAGGCTTTTGTCCCCAGAAGGAACAGTGGGTCCTCACCAGGCTGCACTGAATAAAAGGATTTTTGGGTGTAGTAACATTTATTTAATTATTCTTTTAAATTTTACAAAAAAATATCTAATTTTCTGAACTACTAGAATTTACTAAATAAACAATA